TTTTAGCAAAAGTCATTATAAACAATCTATGAAATTGAAAATGAAAAGCGTGGGGCGAATGTAATACACTTGAATTGATATGAAAAGTAATATATGTATGTATGTATGTGGGTATATGAATAACGACCGCTTAAAATCGATTTCAAAGTTCTACTTTCGCTGTAGAAATTTTAGGTCTACGTTATGTAGTTTGACTATTGTCAATTAAATCGAATGCTTTGTATTGCATGCGCTCCACGTTTTTCATCAAAACAAATCAATTTATCAAAACAAATTCTATGGGACTGAGAAATATTATTTTCTACTTTTTAGTCCATTTATAAAAGCGTTGTATATTAAAAAGTTTTTTTTTTTATATTATTTATTTAATCTGAATCTTTGGAACATTTTTGGGTATACAGTGAGTGCTGCTTATGCAAACGAACGTTGCTTCCAAAAGGCCCAAAACAATCAAAAAAAAGGCACGAAGGCCCATAATTGTACCAAAGTCATGTTAATTCATACTTAAATATGCGTTCGTAAATTGATTTTCTTCTTTTACCGGTAGTTAGTATATATGCATACATATATATATATATATACATATGTACGTATGCATATATCAGTAAGACTTGTTCAACATTAAATAATGCCTCCTACTGGCTTTTCACTGATACCCAGGTATTTTTAGTATAAATTTGCTAAAGGCAGAATTTATCATCGTATTAGTAAATAACTAACCACATTTGTATTTCTCTTAAAATGTTAGAAGAGAGTGTGAAAGAAAGTTCAATACAAAAATCTGACGCAATGTCATGGACAGTTTGCAAAACTTGAACGTATGTATGTACATATCGTAAACGTATTTGGTAGTGGTTGAAGTGCTCTATGCACACACACATCCAGACATGTTGCCGCGAAAGTTAAAATGAGTATTTCTCTACTTTTTTGTAAGTGAAGATGCAATTAAATAAATTCGAACAAAGTTCTTTCTTAATAATAGTTGCGTTCCCGAGCTCGCATGAAGTTGCAAGAATTTACAGGAACTTACCAGAAAGCGTTCCCGTACTCGGTACTCTGGCTTCTTTTGCTTTTTGACAGTTTTACAGGTTTTACACAGAAAAGTTGAGGAACGCATCTAATATCTAACAAATTTTCGACTTTGAATTTTAAAAATATCAAATTTTCTCTTTCAATACCCTCTCGATATGTACATATCCACTATATATGTATATACATATTTTATATATATATATAATATTTTTTAGTATATTATTCGTTTTATCCTTAACACTCTTGCATCATTGTGCATAACATTTAACAATTTTTAAAAGCAACGAACTTTTAATACATTTATTGTAAAATGGAATGTTTATTATATTTTGTATACTTTAAGGCGTTATGAATGTATATTTGCATCTCACGCAAAAAATGTTTGTTTTGACACCCTGTAGTGAACGAAAGCGGCATAATTGAATAGAATACATGTACACATGTATGTACATATGTGTTTATGATTAGGGATGCAAACGATGCATCGATGTTTTTGAAACATCGATAATATCGGTTAAATTTTCGATGTTTGCCATCGATGTTTACAATTTACTAACGACGCGAAATTGACGATACATCGATGGAACTTTTACCGATGTTTTAAGCATCGAAGTTTAGGAGACTCTCCGACTTTTTTTTGGTATGTTTGACTGCCCTTAATTATATTATTCATTTAGAATTTTTTTTTATAATTTATGGCCTTATAACAATTATATTCAATAATTTTATTGAGCTTGAGGCCGTTTCTTATGAAAAATGTTGTTGAAAATCAGCAATAATTTACAAAAGGTAGAAGTTATAGCTGCTACTTCGGTTGAAGAAGTCTGATTAGTAGATGTAGTGATCTCCCAAATAGCAGCTATAACTTCTTACCTTTGTAAATTATTGTTGCTTTTCCACAACATTTTTCATAAAAGCGGCGCCAAGTTCAATAAAATTGTTGGATTCATACTGAATCTAATAACCTAGGCGTTAAAACAGAACCAAACACCCCTTAGAATTTCAACAAGATCAGGCCTAGGATTTTTAGGCCCGAACGACCTTACGATGGTATGCATTTTGATTCTAATAATAGAAAGGGTGT